AACAATTCCAGCACGGTTGAGGGATCTCTACTAATGCTGTTGTACAAGAAATGTCTCATTATTAAGTAGTGGTATTCCAGGACAGGAGCCAATGCTAAGTGACATTAAGCTGGATTACAAGGGTCTCTTTGACCCAAATACAGAGTTAACCTGCCATACAGGACGTTTGTTTAGTTGAATGTGTGCCTGCAATGCTGTTGTGAATCAAAACAGCTCAACTTCCAGTAACTCCATCAATAAGCAGGGTAAAGTAATAATAATCAGCTCAAAAATAATCAACAAGCTAGAGTGAAATTCCATGAATTGCTGCAAGACGCTCAAGATATGGAAAGGGCAAAGAGCTTGTGGATACTAATCTGAAAAAAAGAAATAAAATTAATTGTGAAAGTCCCATTTAGTGGTTGAGTGGACAAGCTGGACAGAGAACAAGGGACAAAAGCAGCCTGGGAAAAGTTTTGTATCCTTATCCTAAAGTTCACTTTGCAGATCTCAGTTGGGCCAAGACAAATCCTTCACTTTTTCCATGAGTCACTTTCCAAGTGTTTTGAATTGGCCTGGTTCTTGTGCAAGCTGCTTGTGTGCAGCTGTTGAGCATGAAATGTGTGTCATCTTCAGCTTAATTAACTGAAAGAGGCCTTAAAGGGATAGTTCACCCAAAAATGAAAACTTGCTGTTAATTTACTCACCCTCAGGCCATTTGAGACGTAGGTGACTTTTTCTTCAGTGGAACAGTAAAAGAAGATTTTTAGCTGAAATCCTGGTCCTTGGTGATACATAAAATGCAAGTCAGTCACTAGTCACTTGAGAGTCAAAAAAGTATGCAACCAACACAAAATTAATATACCCATGGCTCCTGGTGATATATCGAGGTCTTATGAAGTGAAACGATTGGTCTGTGCAAGAAACTGAACATTATTTACAACACTATTACCTGGAATCCAGAGCCTCAGGCAAACGGGGAAATCTGATTTATTTTCTGCAAACTGGTTCATTCAGACAGTTTGATTCTATTAATTGGCTAAAATAACCAATTCACCAGTTTGATTTCGTAATCCTGCAATCATAACACATGCACACAATTATATTAAGACCTCAATATATTGTCAGGAGGTACGGGTATTAATTTTATGTTGCCTGTAAGTGCTTTTTTGACTCTCAGAGTGACGGTAGCCATTGACGTGCATTGTATGAACCCCCAAGGACCAGGGTTTGATCTAAAAATCTTCTTTACTGTTCTACTGAAGAAAAAAAAAGTCATTTTGGATGGCCTGAAGGTCAGTAAACTAACAGCACATTTTCCTTTTTGGGTGAACTTTCCCTTTAATAGCGACTGACTGTGCTGCTAATTCACACATGACCGAACACGTCCTGCAGATTTGGGACCGTCCCATCCTCCCTTCCCCCCACGGACAGTGAGTGTTTGGTGATTCTGGAGCTCCAGGGGTTCAGGAAACGGCTCCACTGGAATCAACATCTACCCAATAAGTGACCTTAAAGGACGCTGGATGTAAACATGCAGTGACAGCAGATAACAAATAAATCAAATCTGGATGGATTGGAAACACTTGATCACCAATCTGTTTGCTCTTTCAGGGGAGGAACAGGAAAACTCTGACTGAATGGAGTAAAAGACACGCTGCATGCCCAATACACAAGCAGCAATGGTGTCAATGAGGGATGTAGACCGCTATAACATGCTATCGATTTGCATAAAGATTAATGTGGGAAACTATTAAATAATTACATGGATCTAAATGAAAATACAGAGAGAAACGTGTCCCAAACAGTTTTATAATATTTGTCTAACTGTTTTGAGTCAGACATACTATTTATTAAAATATCACATCACAAATAATAAGAGTAGAAAAATTCAATGAAATGATGCACTCTTTATTTGAAAAAGTATTTAATTTACTGGATTTTCCAAAATAAATTTTACATGGTTCACTTATTAAAATTTACTAAAACTCTAATAAACAATTGTTTAAATACCAATGTGGCACATTGAAAATGCTACTAAATTTTAAAAATAATCTACTTATTTATTAACGTATATTATTTATTAATTTATAAACTTAAAAAAATAAAGATAAAATATTGTACATAATTTTGATATTTACTATTTAAAAATGTAATATATAAAAATAATACATAATATATGCAAAAAGTATATTTCAATGTCATAGCTCATTAAAAAAAATCAGTGGCTTTGTTGTCACAGAAAAAAAGAGTTTCTCATGCAATGTTATACTCCCAAAGCTAATAACCTTTACTGCATCGCAGCACCTCAATTACAACTTCTTCACTGCCAAAATACATTGTTTGAATCAAAGAGAGATCAGCCTCCAAGGGGCTCTTAGAATGACTGGGCAGATAAGACCGAGCGAAACCACAAGATGGTGATGAATAAATTGGGACGCGGTAATGAGTAATGAATGTGTGTGCGCTCAGCAAAGGTTCAGGCTTAAGTTGCAGCTCATACAAACCATCCATTCAGAGCAAGAGTGCAAGAATGTGTGTCGCGGATACAGCCTGCAAGAGCGACGGACGAAAGCCCTGCCCTCTCGGAGAACAGGCCGAGTCTGTGTCCACCCGTCCCACAGAGGGCAGAGAGGAGAAGACGGGCCGCTCATGCCCAACACACTGAGCACAGAGGGTTTCTCACTACAGACTCGCCCCTCCCGTCCCGCGAGATGCTCCGCTAAAGCTCGAGTCATCAGAACACCACGTGATTCCTGAGTGACAAATGTTATCAAAATGTCAGAGAGCTCAAGAACACAAGATCAGGCTGTCCTGACATGCTATGCACTGACCACACACATTTTCAGGACCAGGATGCTGTCGATAATCGGACCTGATATGAAGCATCACACAGTCTAAATATGTAGAAAATGTTTTTTGCTATTTGCTATTTTAGTACGCTGCTATATGGTTGCTAGGGTGTTCTGGATTGTTGCTAGATGGTTTCTTGTTGGCTGCATTTTTTATAATAATTTATTCTCGTAATTTATATCATAATGGAAAAACTTTAGTATCAAAAAGTTATTTTAGTATCATTATTATTTATAATTAATCAGTTTTTATTTCTATATTTTCCATTTTCAGTACATTTTAGTAATTTTATTGTCATTTTTAGTTTTTTTTTTCAAGTTAAACTCAATTTTAATCCTATAAAAATGCAAAAGTACTATCATGTAAATTTGACCACTGAAATCTTTCAGTCTGTTCCAGTCCCACAAGATCTTAAAAATACAAAGTTAAAAAAGCACAAATGTGAAGCCAGACTTCTGTGCTGTGTTTACAGTCACACACGGCCCCTACAGTCAACACAGACGACTTATTTTCTTAAGATATCCTCGTCAGTCCAGTGTTTAACATCACTGATTGTGTGTGTGGTCACAAGAGAGGGAATGCTGGCCTATATATATATATATATATATATGTCAGAGTATAAGTCAGAGTATGTGTCATTTTATATCTTATCAGTTTATCACAATGTTAATGTCATACCAAAAAAAAAAAAAAAAGTTACTTTCTTAATGCAATCAATTAACTGAGGAACTATGAAGATATCAATTGGTTAAATATTACCCTTATTCACCCTAATGCCTTAAAATTAGAATGTAAATTCAATTTTGAAAGTCAACCGGCATGCAATGACAGCGCAGCTGAATTAGAATGCAGAAGGAAACAGCCCACACGCAACATGCATAACGATAACAGACATATGCAACAGGCCGAACTCACAAAGCAAGCTCTATTCTCTCCAACTGAGAACAGTTTGCTTTGTTGTGTGGAATTCCATGTAAACAAACCCTGGGGAGCGAAAGTAAAAGTGAGGAGAACCGGCACATACAGACCCATGAGGTGGGGGAGCATGTGTGTTCAGAGGGGGCCGATGGGACCCTTAAACAAAGACCCCGTTCTGTTCTAAAGGTGAAGGAGAATATGAACCCTTCACAACCTTTACAAAGCATATATAGTTCTCCTGGAAGTGTGCGTTACCGCCCTGATACTGCCGGGTTATGAATCCCAGACACACCAAACTGCTACACCTCCAACGCCGGCTTTGATGCCGTCTGGAAAGGCGTTATGCGCCGTGTCTGCTAATTTAATTGGTATGTTGGCTTAGAAACCGCTCGTAATATACCACGCATCTGGAATTAACTTCATTCGAAGTGCCGTTCATCTATGAGGATCATAATAATTTAGGAATCGACATGTTCTGCAGTGTGACTCGCAATGCTGCATTTTAAAAAGCATTCAAGCCCTTGTATCAAAGCATAGAGCTATATCTGTATCTGTGTAAATGCATTCATTCCACCTCTGAGCAGCATTAAACAGTCTGTGTGTAAAGACACCTACAAGCAACTTCTCAAGCACTTCCGTGCCTGCATTTACAGTGAACATTTGGCATTAAGAGTAAGAAAAAAATACATAAGGTTTTAAAATGGTTACAAACATGAGACCAAAATACTTTGCATTCATGTACATTTTAGCCTAAAATCTTCATGTTGAATAAACAAAAAAAGTACATGGATCTTTATGCACCAACTACCCAACTGTGAACCCCCTAATTAGGGAGCAAGTAGAGGCCCCTTTGAGCAGAAGTTGGAACGCAAACCTATTATTACATAACCTGCAGCAACTCTTCAAGGCTTTGAGCACTATATTCTGACTTTATCCAAATGGGCTAAACGTATCTGCATTGCTTTGTGTGGCACTGCATAAGCAAGATACAGTCACTGGATGACTGCACCATCTGAACTTTATCCCTTGGAGCCAAGTGGAACCCAAAGGCACATTAGTAATCTTACAGACTGTCTTTGTGATAGACCAAGTCATTTAAAAGCTTGTATATGACTAAATGTAGGAAATTATGATGTTTACAGGCATTGTGGGTGATCTGACACTAGTTGCAACACATTAACACATGCTATGAGAGGGTGTACGTGAAGATGGCAATGGTGCCGCGGAATTATAAGAGGATTCCTACTTACAGTGCTGTATAAAATGTCGTTTTCCCCGGGTTCGGACAATTCGCTGAGATTTTTGTCCCATTGTAAAAACGGTTCCCCGCTATCCATTATTTCCATGCCTCGATCCGCGTCTGTAGTAAATCGCCACGCGCTGCTTCGCTTCAACGACTCCACAAACGACTATTTGTCAGCGTAACCGTCAAAACACTCGTCAGGTCACGATTCGGAGTGAATTTGGTGCTGTCAGCGCAATGTTAGGTATAAGTTGCGCGTCCGTCGCCAGTGTTATCGAAACTTTCCTCTCAGCTTCCTTGAGAAATGTCGCCCCTTCACAGGCGAGCAGGAATTTGGGGCGGGTAAATGATGGGAGTTGCAAAATCTGTTTACAAAGGACTGTTTGTGGACTGTGATACTTTCAGGAAACATTTCGGATGTTTCCAAGCAAATATTATTATATGCGCTTTTCAAGGAGTTTCTGTTTTGTTACGCTGTTTGCAAACACTACGCATATTCGCCTTAAAAATGCTAAACTTTTCTATCCAATGCCCCGCCCTTGGAATCCGTGTGGCGACCAATCAGATTGGCTGTTACGTTTAAGCTCACTCAGAGCGTGCGAAAATCAGGGAAGACGGACAGCCCGTCTGACCAATAGGAGAACGCTAATGTATGATTGACGTGAAACTGCTCCAATTAAAGGCGACTGCGCATAATCTCTTAACAAACCGTATAAAGCCAAGAGTACCAAACTCTGTGCACCGCCTCAAGTCATATGTCTGTGAAAAGATTTTTGCTGTTTAAATACCATGAAAAAGTAATCTTACTCTCATTTTAAAAGTGCATTTAAGATACTCTTAGTATATTCTGGAGGCTAAGAAAAACAGATTAAAAAATACAATTAAACGACTATAACACGATGGGTAAAATGCGCACAAACAAATGGACACGACTGAAAAACAAAAGTAAGAAATGAAACTACTGTTCTCTCAGTTTCAAAAGACATATAGACATGAATGGCATAAGTATTCAAAACAAATCCTTTACTGACAAACTATTACATGACATTACAACAAACTGGAAGTGATTTCTTCAAATATGATGCTTTTATTTTTTATAAGTCCAAAAAAAAAAAAAAAAATTAGGAAATTTAGCATTTTTGTATATATATACACAAAGAGAGTCCAATCCAGTTCATGGCTCTGGAAAGTGTTTACATGTCAAAGTGCATCTGTCAGCGCCCTCTGTGGGAAATAAGCCAGCATGACACAATCATACAAACAACATCACTTATTATATGTCCATGTATGACTGTTAAGGCTGGACAGAATGATACGCAGAGTTTAATGTCAGTGAGCAGAGTAACTTCTTTTGGTTCCTAAAGTCTGGGAAGGCGTCTTCATTACTGGTCTCGCAGACTTTCACTTAAAAACACAATATTATCTGTGGGAAGAGACAAATGATATTTGGCAAATTTGAACTATTCAAGCAAAAACAAAACATAAAAAATAAGCAGCTAAGACATTTATAGTCTGTTGTGAACTCTGACCTGCGATAATAGTTGTTGCCTGTCGCCTGACGTTGTTTTTATCCATGTACTCTCCATAGTCAAGCTTTCCTTCCACAAGAATCCGAGACCTGAAAATAAGGTTGATTCTAGGTTAACAGCGGCATGATTTATTTTTTATATCTATAGATCGCTCCAAAACAAATATGGAACACACCCTTTCTTTACATACTGATACGCCACGTCTCTAAGGCCTGGTTTGAATACTGAGATTCTGTGCCATGTTGTTTTCTGGCTGACATCTCCTGCAAAAAAAAAAAAAGAGAACAAAAACATTTGTTTACGATCTTTTAATAAAGACAATATTTCAGATTTTTGTTTTTTTTACCATATATTTGCACCATGAAGACAATTTTCTTTGAAAAAAATAAATAAAAAATCTGTAAAAATGTCAATTTCTGTGAAAGCATATGGAAAAATCTAGAATTAGTTTGCTTGTTACTCACATACAGTACTTTAAAATTATCTTTTTGTTTAACAACTTTTTTTAATCATGTGTTCATTTTTTTGAAAATGTATATTTACTTTATCCAGAAAACAAAATATAAAAAAAACAATAAATAGCCACAAAAATAGCA